TGATCATAATCTTGATGTGATTGGCCTGACTGAAACATGGCTTAAGCCTGATGAATTTGCTGTGTTAAATGAGGCCTCACCTCCTGGTTACACTAGTGACCATATTCCCCCGTGCATCCCGCAAAGGCGGAGGTGTTGCTAACATTTACGATAGCAAATTTCAATTTACAAAAAAAAAAATGGCGTTTTCATCTTTTGAGCTTCTAGTCATGAAATCTATGCAGCCTACTCAATCACTTTTTATAGCTACTGTTTACAGGCCTCCTGGGCCATATACAGCGTTCCTCTCTGAGTTTCCTGAATTCCTATCAGACCTTGTAGTCATAGCAGATCATATTCTAATTTTTGGTGATTTTAATATTCACATGGAGAAGTCCACAGACCCACTCCAAAAGTCTTTCGGAGCCATTATCGACTCAGTGGGTTTTGTCCAACATGTCTCTGGACCTACTCACTGCCACAGTCATACTCTGGACCTAGTTTTGTCCCATGGAATAAATGTTGTAGATCTTAATGTTTTTCCACAAAATCCTGGACTATCGGACCACCATTTTATTACGTTTGCAATCGCAACAAATAATCTGCTCAGACCCCAACCAAGGAGCATCAAAAGCCGTGCTATAAATTCTCAGACAACACAAAAATTCATTGATGCCCTTCCAGACTCCTTCTGCCTACCCAAGGACGTCAGAGGACAAAAATCAGTTAACCACTTAACTGAGGAACTCAATTTAACCTTGCGCAATACCCTAGATGCAGTTGCACCCCTAAAAACGAAAAACATTTGTCATAAGAAACTAGCTCCCTGGTATACAGAAAATACCCGAGCTTTGAAGCAAGCTTCCAGGAAATTGGAACGGAAATGGCGCCACACCAAACTGGAAGTCTTCCGACTAGCTTGGAAAGACAGTACCGTGCAGTACCGAAGAGCCCTCACTGCTGCTCGATCATCCTACTTTTCCAACTTAATCGAGGAAAATAAGAACAATCCAAAATTTCTTTTTGATACTGTTGCAAAGCTAACTAAAAAGCAGCATTCCCCAAGAGAGGATGGCTTTCACTTCAGCAGTGATAAATTCATGAACTCCTTTGAGGAAAAGATCATGACCATTAGAAAGCAAATTACGGACTCCTCTTTGAATCTGCGTATTCCTCCAGGGCTTAGCTGTCCTGGATCTGCACAGCTCTGCGAGGGCCTGGGATCGGGAGAGACACTTAAGTGTTTTAGTACTATATCTCTTGACACAATGATGAAAATAATCATGGCCTCTAAACCTTCAAGCTGCATACTGGATCCTATTCCTACTAAACTGCTGAAGGAGCTGCTTCCTGTGCTTGGCCCTCCTATGTTGAACATAATAAACAGCTCTCTATCCACCGGATGTGTACCAAACTCACTAAAAGTGGCAGTGATAAAGCCTCTCTTGAAAAAGCCAAACCTTGACCCGGAAAATATAAAAAACTATCGGCCTATATCGAATCTTCCATTCCTCTCAAAAATTTTAGAAAAAGCTGTTGCGCAGCAACTCACTGCCTTTCTGAAGACAAACAATGTATACGAAATGCTTCAGTCTGGTTTTAGACCCCATCATAGCACTGAGACTGCACTTGTGAAGGTGGTAAATGACCTTTTAATGGCGTCAGACCGAGGCTCTGCATCTGTCCTCGTGCTACTAGACCTTAGTGCTGCCTTTGACACCATCGATCACCACATTCTTTTGGAGAGACTGGAAACCCAAATTGGTCTACACGGACAAGTTCTGGCCTGGTTTAGATCCTACCTGTCGGAAAGATATCAGTTTGTCTCTGTGAATGGTCTGTCCTCCGACAAATCAACTGTACATTTCGGTGTTCCTCAAGGTTCCGTTTTAGGACCACTATTGTTTTCACTATATATTTTACCTCTTGGGGATTTTATTCGAAAACATAATGTTAACTTTCACTGCTATGCGGATGACACACAGCTGTACATTTCAATGAAGCATGGTGAAGCCCCAAAATTGCCCTCGCTAGAAGCCTGTGTTTCAGACATAAGGAAGTGGATGGCTGAAAACTTTTTACTTTTAAACTCGGACAAAACAGAGATGCTTGTTCTAGGTCCCAAGAAACAAAGAGATCTTCTGTTAAATCTGACAATTAATCTTGATGGTTGTAAAGTCGTCTCAAATAAAACTGTGAAGGACCTAGGCGTTACTCTTGACCCTGATCTCTCTTTTGACGAACATATCAAGACTGTTTCAAGGACAGCTTTTTTCCATCTACGTAACATTGCAAAAATCAGAAATTTTCTGTCCAAAAATGATGCAGAAAAATTAATCCATGCATTTGTTACTTCTAGGTTAGACTACTGCAATGCTCTATTTTCCGGCTACCCGGATAAAGCACTAAATAAACTTCAGTTAGTGCTAAATACGGCTGCTAGAATCCTGACTAGAACCAAGAAATTTGATCATATTACTCCAGTGCTAGCTTCCCTACACTGGCTTCCTGTTAAGGCAAGGGCTGATTTCAAGGTTTTACTGTTAACCTATAAAGCGTTACATGGGCTTGCTCCTACCTATCTTTCCGAGTTGGTCCTGCCGTACATACCAATACGTACGCTACGGTCACAAGACGCAGGCCTCCTAATTGTCCCTAGAATTTCTAAGCAAACAGCGGGAGGCAGGGCTTTCTCCTATAGATCTCCATTTTTATGGAACAGTCTGCCTACCCATGTGAGAGACGCAGACTCGGTCTCAACCTTTAAGTCTTTACTGAAGACTTATCTCTTCAGTAGGTCATATGATTGAGTGTAGTCTGGCCCAGGAGTGTGAAGGTGAACGGAAAGGCTGGAGCAACGAACAGCCCTTGCTGTCTCTGCCAGGCTAGTTCCCCTCTCCACTGGGGTTCTCTGCCTCTAACCCTGTTGCAGGGGCTGAGTCACTGGCTTGCTGGTGCTCTTTCATGCCGTCCCTGGGAGGGGTGCGTCACTTGAGTGGGTTGAGTTACTGACGTGATCTTCCTGTCTGGGTTGGCGCCCCCCCCTTGGTTTGTGCTGTGGTGGAGACCTCTGTGGGCTATACTCGGCCTTGTCTCAGGATTGTAAGTTGGTGGTTGGGGATATCCCTCTAGTGGTGCGGGGGCTGTGCTTTGGCGGAGTGGGTGGGGTTATATCCTTCCTGTTTGGCCCTGTCCGGGGGTTTCTTCGGATGGGGCCACAGTGTCTCCGGACCGCTCCTGTCTCAGCCTCCAGTATTTATGCTGCAGTAGTTTATGTGTCGGGGGGCTGGGGTTAGTTGGTTATACCTGGAGTACTTCTCCTGTCTTATCCAGTGTCCTGTGTGAATTTAAGTATGCTCTCTCTAATTCTCTCGTTCTCTCTTTCTCTCTGAGAACCTGAGCCCTAGGACCATACGTCAGGACTACCGGGCATGATGACACCTTGCTGTCCCCAGTCCGCCTGGCCTTGCTGCTATTCCAGTTTCAACTGTTCTGCCTGCGGCTACGAAACCCCTACCTGTCCCAGACCTGCTGTTTTCAACTCTTAATGATCGGCTATGAAAAGCCAACTGAGAGACCTGAGCCCTAGGACCATACGTCGGGACTACCGGCCGTGGTGACTCCTTGCTGTCCCCAGTCCGCCTGGCCTTGCTGCTATTCCAGTTTCAACTGTTCTGCCTGCGGTTATGGAACCCCTACCTGTCCCAGACCTGCTGTTTTCAACTCTTAATGATCGGCTATGAAAAGCCAACTGAGATTTATTCCTGATTATTATTTGACCATGCTTGTCACTTATGAACATTTTTGAACATCTTGGCATGGTTCTGTTATAATCTCCACCCGGCACAGCCAGAAGAGGACTGGCCACCCCTCATAGCCTGGTTCCTCTCTAGGTTTCTTCCTAGGTTTTGCCTTTCTAGGGAGTTTTTCCTAGCCACCGTGCTTCTACACCTGCATTACTAGCTGTTTGGGGTTTTAGGCTGGGTTTCTGTACAGCACTTCGAGATATTAGCTGATGTAAGAAGGGCTATATAAAATAAAATTGATTGATTCAGCCTCCTGAGGTTTGAGCTTGTTTATCCAAGCTTTTCTTTGACTTTTTGCGATTTAGTTTTTCCCTGTGGCAAATCGATAAAACCCTAATCCCCCCCACCTCCCCCCCACCCCACCCTTTTTCGAAAATACGGCCTTGCACCCCCAAACACAGCATGATTTTGGCATTATGATAAATGTAAATGGTCCGTCAGGTCTACCAATCTTAATGCGTTCACATTAGTCCAAATTCCGACGGTTACAACAACCCAAAACTAACAGAGCAGCCTTTGTTTACAAACATTCTGATTTGGTCTATATGACTTCATTTACTTACATATTTTTTGTGTGCTAATATCACATAGGCTTTTCTTTATTTGGGGCTTCTTCACCATCTAAGGAAGTGGAAACTCAATTAATTGGCTAGACCGCTAAATATAATAGGCTGCCAGTTAGACGTGTAATTGATTAATCTAACAGTACATTTAATGTTTTAAAAATGTGGCATGATACTATCCAATGATGTCTATATAGGCCTATGCAATCACAAGGAATTGGTCGATGCGCACTTCACCCGCTCTGAATCTCAAAGATCCATACCAGTTGTAAAAACTGTGCTAGAAATCTCTATTGAGAGTTCAGAAATAAATTGTATGTCTACAGAAGCTGTCTACTCGAAGTGCCCAGGGCAGGGCAGACACTTTGATTGCAGGGATCAGGATAAGCCTGTTTGACCAAATCAAGGTTTAAGCCGCCCCGAAAACAGAAAGCTTTGAGTGAAGTTACCAACTAGAATTTGCAGCTGGCACTGATGCGACCAAGTAAACATTAAACTTGAATAGCTAAGTCAAAGAGACACATTTTATTAAATGGTCCCACTCTGGAGCCCTGCACTCAAAATATGTTTTTGCGTATGTACATCCACCCACACAGACTGCTAGAACTATCTGTGTGTGACCATGTCTCCCCCAACCCTCTCCCCCTTCCAGATCCTGTACAACAGGACCATGGTGCAGCTGGGGATCTGTGCCTTCCGCCAGGGCATGATCAAGGATGCCCACAATGCCCTGCTGGACATCCAATCGAGTGGCCGCGCCAAGGAGCTGCTGGGCCAGGGCCTGCTCATGAGGAACATGCAGGAGAGGAACGCCGAGCAGGAGAAAATCGAGAAGAGGCGACAGGTAAGCTACGGCTCAGCTAAGCTAAACTCCGCAAAGAGACCACTGGTCGGCTACGGATAGGTTAGGCCCAGCAGAAAAGACCAGAGGTAGCCTGAGGATAGGCATATGAATCAAATCTTTTAAACAATTATTTTTGATGAAACTAATGGTTCACTTTGCCGTTATAAAAGTTTGGATTGGTTCAATCGCAGTGACTCAAAATAATCATTTGTGAATCGCGAACAGTAATTTTAGCAACAAATATTAGCTGTAGCCTCGCTTGGTAAGGTCACTAGGTGTTGTACTAAAGGTTGTTAGTAGTAGTATTTTTACAAGGGGTGCGTTCACCTCTTATTTTTTCAGATATTTAATCTTTATTCACTCGCTCGCGTCACTTTTCGAAAAATATGAAATCCATTAAACAGTCAATCAACTTTGTATCGTCTTAGGATGATATACACAACATAACCAAAAGTATGTGGGCACCTGCTCTTCAAACATCTCATTCAAAAATCATGGGCATTAATATGGAGATGGTCCCCCCTTGCTGCTATAACAGCCTCAACTCTTCTGGGAAGGCTTTCCACTAGATGTTGGAACATTGCTGCGGGGACTTGCTTCCATTCAGCCACGAGCATTAGTGTGGTCGGGCACTGATGTTGGGCGATTAGGCCTGGCTCACAGTCGGCTTTCCAAATAATCCCAAAGGTATTAGATGGGGTTGAGTTAAGGGCTCAGTGCAGACCAGTCAAGTTCTTCCACACCGATCTCGACAAACCATTTCTGTATGGACCTCGCTTTGTGCACGGGGGTATGGTCATGCTGAAACAGGAAAGGGCCTTCCCCAAACTGTTGCTACAAAGTTGGAAGCACAGAATGGTCTAGAATGTCATTGTATGCTGTAGCGTTAAGATTTCCTTTCACTGGAACTAAGGGGCCTAGCCCAAACCATGGAAAAACAGCCCCAGACTATTATTCCTCTTCCACCAAACTTTACAGTTGGCACTATGCATTAGGGCAGGTAGCGTTCTCCTGGCTTCCGCCAAACCCAGGTTTGTTCGTCGGACTGCCAGATGGTTAAGCGTGATTCATTACTCCAGAGAACGCGTTTCCACTGCTCCAGAGTCAATGGTGGAGAGCTTTACACCACTCAAGTCGACGCTTAGCATTGCGCATGGTGATCTTAGGCTTGTGTGCGGCTGCTCGGCCATGGAAACCCATTTCATGAAGCTCCCGAAGAAACAGTTATTGTGCTTATGTTGCTTCCAGAGGCAATTTGGAACTCGGTAGTGAATGTTGCAACCGAAGACAGGCAATATTTACGCGCTTCAGCACTCGGCGATCCCGTTCTGTGAGCTTGTGTGGCCTACCACTTTGCAACTGAGCCGTTGTTGCTCCTAGACATTTCCACTTCTCAATAACAGCACTTACAGTTGACCGGGGCAGCTCTAGCAGGGCAGAACTGACTTGTTTTACGAACTGACTTGTTGGAAAGGTGGCATCCTATGACGTTGAAAGTCACTGAGCTCTTCAGGAAAGCCATTCTACTGCCAATGTTTGTCCATGGAGATTGCATGGCTGTGTGCTCGATTTTATACACCTGTCGGCAACGGGTGTGGCTGAAACAGCCGAATCCACTAATTTGAAGGGGTGTCCACATACTTTTGTATATAAATAGTGTACTATAGTCTCTTTATGAATATTGTACAGTATTACACTGACTGTAGTTGGTTTCCGACGTGACATTGTTATCCATCTTGTTTCAGGTTCCCTTCCACATGCACATCAACCTGGAGCTGCTGGAGTGCGTGTACCTGGTGTCTGCCATGCTTCTGGAGATCCCCTACATGGCAGCCCATGAGTTTGATGCCCGCCGCAGAATGATCAGCAAGCAGTTCCACCACCAGCTCAGGGTGGGCGAGAGGCAGCCCCTTCTGGGTACGTACAGTAGACTGTGCAGACAAAGCAGGGTTGTGTTCGTTATGCACTAAATGGAAGAAAAAAGACAGAAACTGGGAGGGACTACCAGGACCTGTCCAATAATAAATGCTATTTAATTTTTTTTTCAAACTTTTTCTGTTGAGTGCTCTAATGAACACAGCCTAGTTTAGGACCAAAATGTGGGTGGTTACATACCTAGATAAAAGACGGACAGGATTTAAAGGGGCAGTGCAGTCAAATACGTGTTTAAAATGTATTTCCACACTATGAGGTTGGAATAATACTGTGAAATTGTGATAATGCATTTTAGTGTAAGAGCTGCATGAAAAGACAGCCTGAAATTACAGCATGTTTGGCTGGGTGGGGTTTTTGGACTGCCTGGTGACATCACCAGCCAGTCCAGAAATAAGTTAATAGACCAATAAGAGAGTTTGTCCTGCTCTCTGCCAATAACAGCTAGTTACACATCCCTCCCATTAGGCTCTTCCAAATATGCCCCTCTCTGACCACTCTCAGACAGTCCTTGCAAAATTCTTGCTTGAGAAGTAGCATTTTTCCAAGAAGCTGTTTTTGTTTCTTTTTGACCATTTTAATTGAAAACAATCACAGTAAGGTACTTAATTCTTAACCAGAAATTATTTGATATTGTGATAAAAACGGCTGCATTAGACCTTTAAGAAGACATAGGGGCACATTTTTTTTGTTTTTGTTTTCTGATTAGCCTTCACAATATAAAAAATATCCAGTAATCCCGAGATGTACTTTGAGGAAAGTGGGTGGCTAAGAATGTCATTAATCCTTACGATAAGATTGTACAGCTAATACAGACAAGTACCAATACAGATACAGCAATGGACATACACTAAACAAATCTATCCCTCTCCATGGCCCTTCCAGGACCCCCAGAAAGCATGCGCGAGCACGTGGTCGCGGCCAGCAAGTCCATGAAGATGGGCGACTGGCGCACCTGCCACTCATTCATCATCAACGAGAAGATGAACAGCAAGGTTTGGGACCTATTCCCTGAGACGCAGTGCGTACGAGAGATGCTTGTCAGGTGAGTGTGTCGAAAATGGATGATATAAAAGGGCTGCTTTAACCCCTATTGTGCAACTGTCCCCCATTTTATCAGTAGTCGTATTTCAGTAGGCAGTATCAACGAATCGCAGCCTGGAATGGTTGAATAAAATGAATTCAATCAAGTTGTAGTAGGGCTAATAAAACAACCCTTTAGTAGCTTTCCTTTAGAAAAATAAAGTTGCACACTAGTACTCACAGTAGTTTGTAATTTCATGACTGAACTAATGTTTCGGCAACACAGTGCCTCCTTCAGAGGTATCATTCCTGTAACGTTTCCTGATGGTTTGTGGTTGCAGGAAGATCCAGGAGGAGTCTTTGAGGACGTACCTGTTAACCTACAGCAGTGTTTACGACTCCATCAGGTAATAACTTTTAAAACTAATCGGGCGGTTTCCCAGTTATAGATTAAGCCTAGTCCTGGACTAAAAAGCACTTTCAATGGAGATTGTCTATTCCGTGTAGCCTGGTCCCCAACTGTTGTATAGCCAACTCCTATGGCATGACAACGACCATGGGGATTACTATATGCTTATTCTGGCGTAGTCAGCCTTCCAAAATCCCGTCTTGTTCACTCAGCTATTGGAAGTCTGGTGAACTTCATGTTTGGGTTTCTGCCAGAGTCGGTGACATTCAGTGCTCGCATTTGATTGGCTCTGAGTAGAAATGGCGTTTCCCCTCCGGAGAGGCATTTCCTTGTCTATCGTGTTTTCGTTTTTTTGTCCATATCTCGGTTTTAGTAGCCTATGCGGCATTCGTTTTGTATCTTATGTATGCCAACTTGTTGCAAGTCAACATTTGTTTTTGAAACACAATGTCTTTTAAGAACTGCACCCATGCAAAATCCTTGATTGGTTTGATGTGTCAACACGTCACTAGAGTCCATCTAGACTACCAAACTCAACCCAAGCAAGACTGCTTCCTGAGGAGTTGCTTTCTAACTACTGTGAGAAACCTGGGATTCGGAGGCTACCATTGGTTATACAGCACAAAATGATCTGGGACCAGGCTACATCTACTCTGCCTCTTTATATCATTTGCTTGCCTGGTTAAACAGATGAATGGATAAAATAAAATAAACGAATTTCTCCTTCCCCTTTTATTGTGTCTCAGTATGGAGACGCTGAAGGAGATGTTTGAGCTGGAGCTGCCCATGGTGCACAGTATCATCAGCAAGATGATCATCAACGAAGAGCTCATGGTAAAACCCACGGCATCAATGTGTCATGTGTAAACCGTACAGCACCATAGACTTAATAAAGCTAGATGACATGATTGTATGAATCTGGAGGTGTAATATGTAATATGAGGTGTGTCTCTCTGAATGGCTTTCGCCTGTGTGTGTGTCTGTCTGTCCATGTCTCGTCTGTGTCACTCCTCCCCCAGGCATCCCTGGACCAGCCCACCCAGACGGTGGTGATGCACCGCACAGAGCCCACCTCCCTCCAGAACATGGCCCTGCAGCTGGCCGAGAAGCTGGGTGGCCTGGTGGAGAACAACGAGCGCGTTTTTGACCTCAAGCAGGGCGTCTACGGAGGCTACTTCAACAGAGGTTAGTGAAGCAGCCACATAGAATACATGTGCAGAGCCTTTCGTCTAGTGGTAACACCTGACTCCTAGCACATACATGCCAACCGCAGAGACCGGGGTTCAATCTCCGTGTCCGCCATTTATACGGTCCCCCTTCTAGGGCTGACATGGTAATTGTATAACCGTGTAACCGACGATTATGGATGAAGACCGTAAATAAAATAAAATAAAATAACCGTCATAACCGTTCGAATACATACATTTTATTGTATTTTTAAGTACATATGCCCAATAGCGGTAGTGTACATGAATGAGTATTATAAATAATAGTTTTTCTACCTTAATCCGTCAAACGGTCTCCATCTTCTCCCTCTAAAATGCGCTCTCTCCTTAAAATATACTCCCTTTGATGCTGTAACATGATCTGTATCTACCTTATGTGCCCAGCTATACGTTTTATCCGGGGGGGCCAGTATGAAAAATGTATGCACTCACTAATTGGGAGTCGCTCTGGATAAGAGCGTCTGCTAAATGACTAAAATGTAAATGTAATCCGGTTTGTAAAGATGCAAAAACAATGCTAAAAACCACCATCTCTGCTGAAATGAACTACCAAATGTGATTCTTGTTGAGTGTGGACCTTTATAAGGGAATGTGAATCTGAGAAGGTGATGAAAACGGTTTTGAATAGATGGAATACAGCTTTTGTCAGATTTGACTTTGTAGCATGTTAGGAGAACTTCCGCAGCAGGTTAGGATAATTAATGTAGTAGGTTAGGATAATTAGTTTAAGGTTATGAAAAGGGTTAGGGTTAGATAAAATGCCCCCAAAATCTTTTGACGTTAATTTGACCAAAGATCTATCTCTTCTAGCCATGACCAATGAAAACCGAAGTTGAAATCCATGCTAGACTAGCAAAAGTGATGCATGTGTGCAACAGCATGATCACTGCTTCAAATATTTGTATATATAACCCAAGATAGACCACAGCCTGTCGTTTCCAATGGGAGCACATTAATCATAGAGGGCAGAACAAGCAAGGTGGTGGGCAGAGCCAAGCACGCGCAAGCGAGATCCTATTGGTGCGATCTAGGATGTATTTACATACAGTGGGGAGAACAAGTATTTGATACACTGCCGATTTTGCAGGTTTTCCTACTTACAAAGCATGCAGAGGTCTGTAATTTTTAACATAGGTACACTTCAACTGTGAGAGACGGAATCTGAAACAAATATCAAGAAAATCACATTGTATGATTTTTAAGTAATTAATTTGCATTTTATTGCATGACATAAGTATTTGATACATCAGAAAAGCAGAACTTAATATTTGGTACAGGAACCTTTGTTTGCAATTACAGAGATCATACGTTTCCTGTAGGTCTTGACCAGGTTTGCACACACTGCAGCAGGGATTTTGGCCCACTCCTCCATACAGACCTTCTCCAGATCCTTCAGGTTTCGAGGCTGTCGCTGGGCAATATGGATTTTCAGCTCCCTCCAAAGATGTTCTATTGGGTTCAGGTCTGGAGACTGGCTAGGCCACTCCAGGACCTTGAGATGCTTCTAATGGAGCCACTCCTTAGTTGCCCTGGCTGTGTGTTTCGGGTCGTTGTCATGCTGGAAGACCCAGCCACGACCCATCTTCAATGCTCTTACTGAGGGAAGGAGGTTGTTGGCCAAGATCTTGCGATACATGGCCCCATCCATCCTCCCCTCAATACGGTGCAGTCGTCCTGTCCCATTTGCAGAAAAGCATCCCCAAAGAATGATGTTTCCACCTCCATGCTTCACGGTTGGGATGGTGTTCTTGGGGTTGAACTCATCCTTCTTCTTCCTCCAAACACGGCGAGTGGAGTTTAGACCAAAAAGCTATATTTTTGTCTCATCAGACCACATGACCTTCTCCCATTCCTCCTCTGGATCATCCAGATGGTCATTGGCAAACTTCAGACGGGCCTGGACATGCGCTGGCTTGAGCAGGGGGACCTTGCGTGCGCTGCAGGATTTTAATCCATGACGGCGTAGTGTGTTACTAATGGTTTTCTTTGAGATTGTGGTTCCAGCTCTCTTCAGGTCATTGACCAGGTCTTGCCATGTAGTTCTGGGCTGATCCCTCACCTTCCTCAAAATTGTCAAAGACTCCAGCCACCCTAGTCATAGACTGTTCTCTCTGCTACCGCACGGCAAGCGGTACCGGAGTGCCAAGTCTAGGTCCAAAAGACTTCTCAACAGCTTCTACCCCCAAGCCATAAGACTCCTGAACAGCTAATCATGGCTACCCGGACTATTTGCACTGCCCCCCCACCCCATCCTTTTTACGCTGCTGCTACTCTGTTAAGTAAGTATTTATGCATAGTCACTTTAACTCTACCCACATGTACATATTACCTCAACTACCTCAACTAGCCGGTGCCCCCGCACATTGACTCTGCAACGGTACCCCCCTGTATATATAGCCTCCCTACTGTCACTTTATTTTACTGTATATATAGCCTCCCTACTGTCACTTTATTTTACTTCTGCTCTTTTTTTCTCAACACTTTTTTTGTTGTTGTTTTATTCTTACTTTTTTGTTGAAAATAAATGCACTGTTGGTTAAGGGCTGTAAGTAAGCATTTCACTGTAATGTCTGCACCTGTTGTATTCGGCGCATGTGACCAATAAAATTTGATTTGATTTGATCATTGATGCCCCACGAGGTGAGATCTTGCATGGAGCCCCAGACCGAGGGTGATTGACCGTCATCTTGAACTACTTCCATTTTCTAATAATTGCACCAAGAGTTGTTGCCTTCTCACCAAGCTGCTTGCCTATTGTCCTGTAGCCCATCCCAGCCTTGTGCAGGTCTACAATTTTATCCCTGATGTCCTTACACAGCTCTCTGGTCTTGGCCATTGTGGAGAGGTTGGAGTCTGTTTGATTGAGTGTGTGGACAGGTGTCTTTTATACAGGTAACTAGTTCAAACAGGTGTAGTTAATACAGGTAATGAGTGGAGAACAGGAGGGCTTCTTAAAGAAAAACTAACAGGTCTGTGAGAGCCGGAATTCTTACTGGTTGGTAGGTGATCAAATACTTGTGTCATGCAATAAAATGCAAATTAATTACTTAAAAATCATACAATGTGATTTTCTTGATATTTGTTTCAGATTCCGTCTCTCACAGTTGAAGTGTACCTATGTTAAAAATTACAGACCTCTGCATGCTTTGTAAGTAGGAAAACCTGCAAAATCGGCAGTGTATCAAATACTTGTTCTCCCCACTGTATTTCCGTTAGTGCGTGTGTGCAATAACTCAATTCGCCCTTGCACTCCTTCTAAACAACGCAATTTTTTGAAACATCCAGTGAAACATCTGGCTCATTGTTCTATCTGTGACTGTGTGATGGACTTGTTTACTGCAGTTGCTAGGCAACTGAAAGCAACATGCTACTTATAGAAATAGAAAGAATAGAACATGCTTTGAAGCTCTAACCCTGGCAATTTGACTGATAAACTCATGGGTACACTCGCAATGGTTGCCTGGTATAGTGCTCTGCTCCACTCATAGAACTGGAGTTACAACTCCGGTAACTATTGTTCTATATCGTGGAGCTCCGCCCCATAGGGGAGCTCTGCTCCTATTTGGTTTACCCCGCTGCCTAGGCAGCGAACAGCCTGAGACAAAATTATGCACACACCTGCAGCCAATAGGAGTACAGGTGTCCCTATAAGAGGGGACACTTCCCCTCAATCAGCCTCCCATTATCTTCAGCGACTGGACTGAAGAAGCTACGAGACGAAGACTCAGGATGAAGAACGCTGTTGATTTTCAGCTCAATGTCGCTGTTCCGCCATGACGGCTTCTGACCCCCACGATTTATGTTTCGTGTGTTTAGGGTCACAGCACGCCAGGGACGGCCTCATTGATCTGCCAGCTGCGCCCTCCTTTCTTTAAAGGAGAGGAAGCAGCGTTGGGCATTTTTCAGGGGGCATATTCCTCTTGAGGATGTGCTATCGGTGTTAGCCTCAGCTTCTGAGGTGTCATCCAAGGGCGCTAATTCAGGAGAAGAAAGGGATATTGGGGATGAGATGGATATTCCATTGGAACAATCCGTCTCAATGACCCAGATTTTCAAGAACCCCTTTCCTTTGGAAAGCAAGAGGTCATGTTCATCCCTGGGCAATGACGACACGGGCTCTGAACATTCAGCAGCCCTGTCTTACGCTGCAGCCTCTCTGCGCTCAGATTTTCCAGGGCTCATTGAGAGGGCTGCCAAACGTCTAGAGATCAAGCTGCCCTCCAGATCGGAAGTGGATATGATGGAGGACGGCCCTTATTCTCGGCCGAGGAGGAAGGCGGAGCCTCTGGCTCCAGCCATGCCCTCACTTGGTAAGTACGTTAAGGGCTCATAGGAGGCACCTTTGGCGGTGCGTTCGCCGGCCAAGGCGTACCTCCCATTCACCAGAGTGGAAGGGAGACACCAGGGCTTCTCAAAGGGAATCCCCAGGCTCGAGAGCGCCATGGCTGCGTATCTCGTGCCGGGTTCGAGTCCCTGGCCCTCGTCCAAGAAAGCCACCTTGCCTACACAGAAGGACCGATTCACAGCGCAGCTTCTTGAGAAGTCCTTTGTGTTGGGAGCCCAAGCTGTAGCAGCAGCAAATAACATTGCCCTCCTCGCAGCTTCTCTGTCCCGCTTAACCACGGGTAGGACTGAGCTCACGAGGGAGGAGGTGGAAGAGGTGTCCAGGATTTCTGGCGCTATTCTCCACCTGACACAAGCGTCAGCTGTCTGTGCAGGGAGGTCCATGGCCACTTCGGTGGTCACGGAGCGACACCTGTGGCTGTCCATGACGGCCATGAAGGAGGCTGATAGAGCGTCGCTCTTGAATGCCCCCATCTCTGACGACAGCCTTTTTGGGGTCGTCGTCAAGGATGCGACGGTGCGATTCATGAAGCTGGACGAGGAGAGGAAGCAGTTGGCCAGACACCTGCCACTGGCAGGGAGATCTAGCCATGCGACGCAGAAACCGTCCACCTCCACCGTCTCTAGTAGACCTGTGTCTACTGCAAGGCGTCGTGCCCGGCGTCAGACGGCGACTTCGAGCAGCAGGAGAGAGGGCTCCGCCCCCCCAGCAGCACCTGAGGTTCCGAACATTCCGCCGGCAAGGGAGGTCATCAGAACGCCGACCTGGCATCACCCGAAGGGCAGCCAGAAGCGACGGCGTCTATGACAGGACGAGGAGGAGAGAATGGAGGCTGGCACAGTGTCTGGTTCGACTGCGCCCACTATTCCCACCCCACCCTTCTGTTGAGGGTACGGAGGAGACTATGTATCGACGTGTGTAATAAAGAGTTGGCTCCAATTGACTTTGTCACAAGAGAGCCCCTTTTCCATAATACATCTGAGAACGTTCAGGATTCTTCACTCTATGTCTCTCTCTCACCACTCTGAGTGTAGCTCAGCCCACCAAGGGTGCGTAGTTGAGTACACACGAGGCGGGTGTTAAGGTGACAAGGCGCCGCCTTGCTTTACCTCATAAAGACCTCACATCACAGACTTCTAGTGCTGTAGTGAAGGTCTCACATAGCAGACTGCAGTCACAGCCAGATAATGGAATGATGACGCAATCGCTATTCGGGGACGGCGCTCTGTCTCAGGCTCCTCAGTCAGTGCAGTTCAGACCCGTGCTGCATTCACGGAGGGCCGGGATATCGAGGTTACGAGTTTAACCAACGTATCGGCGTCCCCGTTTCTCTCCGAATGAGCTAATGTTTCCTCTCCCTTTCTTGGGAGGCCCACCTTGGGCTGTTCCACAACTTCAGTGTTGGGGAAGAGCAGCGGCGAGGGCCGTCGAGGAATACAGGTCCTTCCTACTGAATGTACCACAGCTTCGCGCTCTTCCGCTTTCTCTGCATTGCTGGGAGTGGCGGCGAAGCTGTACCCTCTCTCTCTGGTTAGACCAGACGCTTCAGAAGGGTTATGCCATCCAATTTCATCGGACCCCTCCCCCATTCAGGGGGGTGGTGGAGACGGTAATGAAAACTCCCGAAAAAATCACCACTCTGGTTGCAGAGATTACGGAATTTTTGGCGAAGGAGGCGGTCACAGTAGTTCCCTGGGAGCAAAGGAACAAAGGACTATATTCGCCCTATTTCCTGGTGCCAAAAAAGACAGGGGGATTTACGCATTCTCAACGAGAGCGTAGCCAAACGGCCCTTCCGAATGCTAAAGACAAAACGTCTACTGGAATGTGTCCAGAAGAGAGACTTTTGTACGAGCATAGACCTAAAGGACGCGTACTTTCATGTGCCGGTGCAGCTGCGTCACAGGAAGTTTCTGCGGTTCGCCTTTCAAGGGGTGGCGTACGAGTTCACGAGGATGCCATTCGGGTACACCCTGGCACCTCGCACGTTTTCCAAATGTGTGGAGGCGGCATTAGAACCGTTGCATCGTCAGGGAATAAGGCTACTAGCCTACCTAGACGACCTACTGGTTCTCGCCCCGTCAGCAGAGCTGGCGTTCACTCACACGACACAGACAGTGATTATCTCACGCGTCTGGGTTCGCTGTGAATTGGAAAAAGAGCTGTGGGCTCACGAGCACCTTCGCTCATTGAGAGCAGCACACATTCCAGGCTACTTGAACGTAGGGGCAGACATCAAGTCTCGAGGGGGTCCTCGAGACAACGAGTGGCGTCTGCATCCGAACATCATTCTCCAAATTTGGGAACGGTTCGGGAGAGACGAGGTGGATCTATTCGCGTCACGCGTGAACGCGCATTGCCCTCTTTGGTTCCCTCTTCGAGCTCAGGACGAACCGCCACTGGGGAGGGACGCATTTGCACACCGACTGTGGCCGAGAGTTCTCCTGTATGCTTTCCCACCGCTGTCCTGCATTCTCCCACTGTTAGCCAGTGTGAGATCAGGCGGGCTGTCAATCATATTGGTGGCTCCCGATCGCCCAGGGGCTCCATGGTTCGCGGAGATGATTCAGATGTTGATTGCACCACCTTGGCCAATTCCACATCAACGGGACACGTTGTCTCAGGCGGGAGGCGCGATAGGGCAGTTGCCCATAATCGGCCAACCACTGAAGGCTTGGCTCCTGAGAGGGACAGGCTAGAGCGCCGTGGGTTATCTGATTCTGTAATCAGAACCATACAGGGTTCACGTGCCAGTTCCACTTCTAGGGTTCATGCCAGCAAATGGAACGTGTTTTCACAGTGGTGTGCCACAGAAAATGTGGACCCCGTGTGCTGTCAGGTTGAGAGTGTTCTCTCGTTCCTACAGTTCTTATTTGATAAGCAACGATCGCCCGCCACCATTAAGGTGTTTGCAGCGGCGATTTCGGCTTGTCATGAGGGGTTTGGCAGAGACACTCTCATCAGCCACCCTCTGGTGAAACGTTTCCTTTTGGGAACACGGCGGATTAGGCCAACACCTAGAGCCACGGTTCCTCAGTGGGATTTGTCTCTGGTACTCGAAGCGCTCTGCGAGCCGCCGTTCGAACCATTGAACCAAATTCCCCTCAAGATGCTGTCTTTGAAGACTGCATTGTTGCTCGCTTTGACTACTGCTAAGCGTGTCAGTGATTTGTGTGCGCTTTCTACGAGACCCGACTGCCTTGCCCTTAATGGCGATTTGAGCAGAGCGTTGTTACAGTGAGGGAAAAAAGTATTTGATCCCCTGCTGATTTTGTACGTTTGCCCACTGACAAAGACATGATCAGTCTATAATTTTAATGATAGGTTTATTTGAACAGTGAGAGACAGAATAACAACAACAAAAATCCAGAAAAATGCATGTCAAAAATGTTATAAATTGATTTGCATTTAAATGAGGGAAATAAGTATTTGACCCCTCTGCAAAACATTACTTAGTACTTGGTGGCAAAACCCTTGTTGGCAATCACAGAGGTCAGATGTTTCTTGTAGTTGGCCACCAGGTTTGCACACATCTCAGGAGGGATTTTGTCCCACTCCTCTTTGCAGATCTTCTCCAAGTCATTAAGGTTTCGAGGCTGACGTTTGGCAACTCAAACCTTCAGCTCCCTCCACATATTTTCTATGGGATTAAGGTCTGGAGACTGGCTAGGCCACTCCAGGACCTTAATGTGCTTCTTCTTGAGCCACTCCTTTGTTGCCTTGGCTGTGTGTTTTGGGTCATTGTCATGCTGTAATACCCATCCACGACCCATTTTCAATGCCCTGGCTTAGGGAAGGAGGTTCTCACCCAAGATTTAACGGTACATGGCCCCGTCCATCGTCCCTTTGATGCGGTGAAGTTGTCCTGTCCCCTTAGCAGAAAAACACCCCCAAAGCATAATGTTTCCACCTCCATGTTTGACGGTGGGGATGGTGTTCTTGGGGTCATAGGCAGCATTCCTCCTCCTCCAAACACGGCGAGTTGAGTTGATGGTAAAGAGCTCGATTTTGGTCTCATCTGACCACAACACTTTCACCCAGTTCTCCTCTGAATCATTCAGATGTTCATTGGCAAACTTCAGACGGGCCTGTATATGTGCTTTCTTGAGCAGGGGGACCTTGCGGGCGCTGCAGGATTTCAGTCCTTCACGGCATAGTGTGTTACCAATTGTTTTCTTGGTGACTATGGTCCCAGCTGCCTTGAGATCATTGACAAGATCCTCCCGTGTAGTTCTGGGCTGATTCCTCACCGTTCTCATGATCATTGCAACTCCACGAAGTGAGATCTTGCATGGAGCCCCAGGCCGAGGGAGATTGACAGTTCTTTTGTGTTTCTTCCATTTGCGAATAATCGCACCAACTGTTGTCACCTTCTCACCAAGCTGCTTGGCGATGGTCTTGTAGCCCATTCCAGCCTTGTGTAGGTCTACAATCTTGTCCCTGACATCCTTGGAGAGCTCTTTGGTCTTGGCCATGGTGGAGAGTTTGGAATCTGATTGATTGATTGCTTCTGTGGACAGGTGTCTTTTATACAGGTAACAAGCTGAGATTAGGAGCACTCCCTTTAAGAGTGTGCTCCTAATCTCAGCTCGTTACCTGTATAAAAGACACCTGGGAGCCAGAAATCTTTCTGATTGAGAGGGGGTCAAATACTTATTTCCCTTATTAAAATGCAAATCAATTTATAACATTTTTGACATGCGTTTTTTTCTGGATTTTTTTGTTGTTATTCTGTCTCTCACTGTTCATATAAACCTACCATTAAAATTATAGACTGATCATTTCTTTGTCAGTGGGCAAACGTACAAAATCAGCAGGGGATCAAATACTTTTTTCCCTCACTGTATAGGACATGACTCCTGATTGACATGTTCAGTACAGTAGAGGGAATGTTGTTAATCTGCCCACCAGTGTTACTGGGTTGGGGCGGGATAATGAGGGAAATAGTTTTAGTAACTTTGTTACATTACTATTAGACCGGTCATAAAATATTGACGGAATTGTGACATCATCTATCTGCTGGTTCAGATTAGTATGACTCATATTCTGGTTATCTGCCCACTAGACATTGGCAATGCCATTGGACTAGGTGGGGCGGATTTGTACCGAGGACACAGTATATTGTAACACAGTGTGTTACAGTACTGTGGGACTTGGTCGCAGCCATTGCTAGGCCCGACCTTTTCATTTAAGTGGGAAGTGTTGGGCTCGGCAGGGAGTTCATTTTGGAGCGTTGCGCTCTGCCTTAAACCAATAGGAGCAGAGCTCCCCTATGGGGCGGAGCTCCACGATATAGAACGATAGTTACCGGAGTTGTAGCTCCAGTTCTATGAGTGGAGCGGAGCCCCATAGGACTTAAGGCCCTGCCAACCCTCCAGTCTCGCTGAAGATCATTTCTTGGGAGGCTGATTGAGGGGATGCGTCCCCTCTTATAGGGACACCTGTACTCCTATTGGCTGCAGGTGTGTGCACAATTTTGTCTCAGGCTGTTCGCTGCCTAGGCAGCGGGGTAAACCAATAGGAGCAGAGCTCCCCTATGGGGCTCCGCTCCACTCATAGAACTGGAGTTACAACTCCGGTAACTATCGGTACACTCGCAATGGCTGCCTGGTATTGTGATGCAATAATTTCCATGGTAATTTGGGATGTTCTATCAACTGATGCTCAATTGCCATGGTAACTTAGAATGTTCATAAATTATGCTAACTGATGTGGCTCATGCAATGGAATGCACCTACTACCATACCCTGTTCAAAGGCACTTAAACCTTTTTTGTCTTGCCCATTCACCCTCTGAATGGCACACATACACAATACCTTATTGTCTTAAGGCTTAAAAATAATTTAACTGGTCTCCTCCCCTTCATCTACACTGATTGAAGTGGATTTAACAAGTGACATAAGGGATCATAGCTTTCACTTGGATTCATCTGGTCAGTTTGTCATGGAAATAGCAGGTGTTCTTAATGTTTGTACACTCAGTGTATGTCTAAATAAAGCACAAAATAAAAGCACTCAACACGACAGACATAGGGGAGAGACTGTAAATCGTTAGCCATGTAGGAGTCAATTTAAAATAAAATGGAGTGCGTACGTTTCTTATCACCCACCCTTACTAGATACAAGGGTTAGTTCGCCAATGGTCTTAATCAGATCAGTCTATCAAATCAGTCATATAGAATAGTCCATCTGTGGCTCTGTATCAAATTACCTGAAATGTGAAGCGTTACTCAACCCCAATTTCAGCCTTTGCCCAACCCCTTAAAATAAAAATTTTAAAAAGCGATCAGGTAAGACATTTGTGGGTGGGGGGAGTTGCTCATAAATATTCATTTTGGGGGCGGGTAAATGTAGTTGTGCCAGATCCCAACACTTTCTCACTATAAGTGTACTGATAATAAAATTGTGCTTTGCGAGGAAATATGGTTCTGGACAGTTAGCTCACAGTGGTAACGTGCTTAGTTTCTGACATCTATTTCCACTTGCGGTGTAAGTTCGAATCCCCCATTGGGCACCCCAAAAATATATTTAAAATGTGGATTCACATTTATTGCGGTATTGTGTTGGGAAGAAAAGTGCAATCATCACCTTGAAAATGAAGATTAGGGGTTCAATCCAACCTGCATTGTCGTAATTATTTATGCAATAGCTCTTTTTCCAATGGTCAAACTAACTCACAGATTGGTCTTGGGTACTGTATATAAAAAAACTACTACCAGGGCGACCCCTCTAACAGGTATGCTTTCACTTTTCAAAATTAGAAGTGTGTGTGTACGGGATGAATATTGTAAATAAAGGATAAAAAAGATTTAAAAAAAGATATCTGACCCATGTGGGATTAGAACTCACAACCGTTGAACCAAGAACCAACTGTCTTAGCGGACTGTGTCACCAATTAGTCATAGGGGGTGGGGAAAAAAACGAGTTCACATGACCACCATTGTCATCTATTTCTTGTTTACGATGGGATGGATGTACACTACATGACCAAAAGTATGTGGACACCTGCTCGTCAAATATCTCATTCCAAAATCATGGGCATTAATATGGAGTTGGTCCCCCCTTTGCTGCTATAACAGCCTCCACTCTTCTGGGAAGGCTTTCCACTAGATGTTGGAACATTGCTGCAGGGACTTGCTTCCATTCAGCCACGAGCATTAGTGAGGTCGGGCCCTGATGTTGGGCGATTTGGCCTGGCTCGCAGTCTGCGTTCCAACTCATCCTAAAGGTGTCAGATGGGCTTGAGATCAGGGCTCTGTGCAGGCCAGTCAAGTTCTTCCACACCGATCTCGACAAACCATTTCTGTATGGACCTCGCTTTGTGCACGGCGGCATTGTCATGCTGAAACGGGAAAATGCTTTCCCCAAACTGTTGCCATAACGTTGGAAGCACAGAATGGTCTAGAATGTCATTGTATGCTGTAGCGTTAAGATTTCCCTTCACTGGAACTAAGGGGCCTAGCCCGAACCATGAAAAACAGCCCTAGACCATTATTCCTCCTCCACCAAACTGTACAGGGCAGATTTGTCCGATGGACTGCCAGATGGTTAAGCGTGATTCATCACTCCAGAGCATGTTTCCACTGCTCCAGAGTCTAATGACGGCGAGCTTTACACCACTCCAGCCAACATTTGCCATTGCGCATGGTGATCTTAGGCTTGTGTGCGGCTGCTCGGCCATGGAAACCCATTTCATGAAGCTCCTGACGAACAGTTCTTGTGCTGACGTTGCTTCCAGAGGCAGTTTGGAACTCAGTAGTGAGTGTTGCAACCGAGGACAGACGAGTTTTACACGCTACGCGCTTCAGCACTCGGTGGTCCCGTTCTGTGAGCTTGTGTGGCCTACCATTTTGCAGCTGAGCCGTTGTTGCTCCTAGACGTTTCCACTTCACAATAACAGCACTTACAGTTGACCGAGGCAGCTCTAGCAGTGCAGAAATTTGACTGACTTGTTGGAAAGGTAGCATCCTATGACTGTGCCACGTTGAAAGTCACTGAGCTCTTCAGTAAGGCCATTCTACTGCCAATGTGTCTATATGGAGATTGCATGGCTGTGTGCTCGATTTTATACACCTATCCGCAAGGGTGTAGATGAAATAGCCAAATCCACTCACCTTGTGAGAAGGGGTGTCCACATACTTTTGCATATATAGTGTAGGTACGAATATAATCGTATAATCCTCATAGCCTACATGTTTATTTGTCTTTGTAGAAACACAGATGTATATGAAACGGTAAGCAAAAACTTTGAATTTGGTCATGTGGAAATGTGCCTTACTGCCTTGTGAATTTTGTGTAATGTCTGTAGTGTAGTCAAGGAAGCATCATGGTAAATATATTGGCACACTCCATTGCCAAATAAGGCGCGCTGTCACCTGCTTTTATAGTAAGCTTTGAGGTGGTACCACCCAGCACATCTAGAGAGGAGTGTATTTCATACCGAACCCCTCCCACCTTCACAAGGTGTCTCTACATCACGATTTCAATGGTAGAGTTTAACTTATGCAACAAACTGTCAAAATAAAGACCAGAATTAACTTGTTTCACTATAACTAATCTGGTTTTAGATATTTTTTTTCTTCCTGAAAGTTACTTTTTAAAATGTGGCAGCTTCTAGGGCTTTTAGCCAAACGTTGCAATATGGTGTAGAATGAAATGCCTTACTCCTACATAGTCCAACAAGAACACAAATACTAGCATACTGATTATGTATCAGTATTTTGTTTTTATATGCCCTGTTGCGTGACATGATGAAAATTGCCACATACCACTTATCCAATTTGTAAATCGCTCTGGATTAGAGCATCTGCTAAATTATGTAAATGTAATTGAATCCTCTTGGTCCCTTGGGACACATAAGGCACCACATACCACAAGTAACACAGACTGTAATTGATTTTAACGGGTCCTGTGTGTCTCTATTACAGATCAGAAAGGTGGCTACCAGCAGAAGCAGGGTGGCTACAACAGAGGTAAGTGCCAATCTTGTAAACACAGGTCTGCCTTAGGGTGTGTGTGTGTGTTTCCGTACCACTGACCACAATATTATCCTTAGCAAACCTGAACATTTCTTAGAGTGGATGCAACGCAGGTGGTCGCTGTCCTGTATTTTGAATGTTGTAATGATGTATTATTTTCTCTCAATGCATTGAGAGGTAATTATAATGCATGGTTTATTGAATATGTTAAAATGTTTGGGTGTGAGGGTGGTGGTGTATTGCCCATTTCTCACTACTGAGACGGGCTGCCTGGTTATACATCCACCATAAATACTGGAACCGTGCCGGAGAGGACAATGTGAAAATAAAATATTAAGCTAACACAATGAGATTGTGGCTGGCACGATAGTGTGAAAAAAGTATTGCCTGTAGGCAATAGGCATATATTGTGTGGGAAAAAACTGAATATTTGTGTTTGTATGTGATATTTATTTTGTTATCCCACGCTCATTGCGTGCCGCAGCTGTGTGTAATTCTAAACTGTTTTCACTGTACGGTTTCAGACCAGAGAGGCAGTTACCAACAGAAGCAAGGTGTTACAACAGAGGTGTTTGAAATAATTGATTGAAATGCATGATTGTCTGAATCTTATAAGAGAGCAACTGTGTGTATGGGTCTTATTTCAGTTTGATGTGAGAGAGAGTGAGACAAAAAAATATATATGTCGTCAGAAATGTGTTATTTTTTCAGCTGTGTGTAAAGTGTTTTCATTGTACGTTTTCAGACGGTCAGAGAGGCGGCTACCAACAGAAGCAAGGAGGTTACAACAGAGGTGCTTATGAACCAATTTCTACTGCCTTTATTTTCTAATGAATGTCTTTATTGAAAAAATAAAATCTTATGATATTTTTAAAGCCACTATCAGTGAGCTGCAGACACCTCTTATCATTCTGTCGTGCCAGAGCCGCTGGACATGGTTGATACTATTCTAGAACCATCAGGATTTGACACCTACAGAATGGCGGCAACAACCATCTTTTTAATATCTACATTTTAAAGAGTATTGTAATATGTATATCTTCACATTGTGTTTAGGCAGTTCTTCAGAAACATTGGGATAAGTTAGAATTTCTAAGAACACAATGTATTAATGGGTTTACTGCACTGTAAATACTGTCTTAATTGTATTGAGGGATTGCTCTAGCTTGAACTGTGAAACAGAAAGAACATGTAATTGAACCCAGTAACAGCTTCTTGCTATGACGACAAATATTTTATTTTACGTAAACCCAGATGCAAGGTCAATTGATGAAAGCATAGCTGAACAATTAACTTGATATAAAGTGTGAACAAGCACAAATGTATAGACATTATAAAGGAAAATAACTGTTATTAAAGTGCACAAGTCATTTGTGGATTATATTGGACACATTAGTTGTGGCCTCGCTTGTGCTTACAGTTTATGGTTACGGTTGTTTTCAGACGGAGGCGGTTACCAACAAAGGCAAGGCGGTTACAACCGAGGTGCTTATGAACCATTTTATACCACCTTTATTTTCTTATGAATGTCTGAATTCTCCTTCTGTTTCTTCGTAAAGCTACCGTCAGTGAGCTGCAGTCCCCTCTTCTCCCATTTCGAAATGCCCAAACCTTGGGCACCATTAATAGTAGTCTAGAATGGGATTTGACGCCTATAACATTATTATTTTTTAAAGTGTACTAATTCCATGTAATATATACCATCGTAAAAACAATGCATTGGTTATGTTTAGGTAGTTCTAAGGAAACCAGTATTTCAAACATACTATCAACTTTATATTTATTTGTGGAAAAAAACACACATTTTGTTTTTATTTGTGGATTACTTGAGCTAAAACTCTGAAACAGAAAGAACATGTATTTGAACCCAGTAACATATTATTTATATAACGAGAAAGAAAAGTACCCTAAACCCGCATGCAAATCATGAAAACATAACTAACCACCAATGCAAACAAGCACAAAAGTCATTTGTAGAATATATTGGACACGTTAGTTGTGGCCTCGCACATGCTTACCATTTAAGGTTGGTTTCAGACGGAGGCGGTTACCAACAGAGGCAAGGCGGTTACAACCGAGGTGCATATTAATTTATACCACCTTTATCCTCTAAAAAATTTCTGAATTTTTACTTCAGTTTTTTCTTAAAGCCACAGTCTGTGACCTGCACTCACCCCTTATCATCCCTTCATGCCTGAGCTTTTAGGCCACTCTAAAAACATCCCCCCACATTTAATTTTTTTCACATTCTCTCCTGCAGTCTTTCACTTCCGTTCTTCGCACAACTTGTTAGCATTAGCCCACACATAGTACAGTGCATTCGGAAAGTATTCAGACCCCTTGACTTTTTCCACATTTTGTTACGTTACAGCCTTATTCTAAATTTGATGAAATTGTTTTTTTCCCCCTCAATCTACACACAATACCCCATAATGACAAAGCAAAAACAGGTTTATAGAAAATGTATAAAAAAATAAAAGACTGAAATATCACATTTCCATAAGTATTCAGACCCTTTACTCAGTACTTTGTTGAAGTACCTTTGGCAGCGATTATAGCCTTGAGTCTTCTTGGGTATGATGCTACAAGCTTGTCACACCTGTATTTTGGGAGTTTCTCCCATTCTTCTCTGCAGATCCTCTCATGCTCTTGTCAGGTTGGATGGGGAGCGTCGTTGCACAGCTATTTTCAGGTCTCTCCAGAGATGTTCAATCAGGTTCAGGTCCGGACTCTGGTTGGGCCACTCAAGGACATTCAAAGACTTGTCCCGTTGTCTTGGCTGTGTGCTTAGGGTCGTTGTCCTGTTGGAAGGTGAACCTTCGCCCCTCTCTGAGGTCCTGAGTGCTCTGGAGCAGGTTTTCATCAAGTATCTCGCTGTACTTTGCTCCGTTCATCTTTCCCTCGATCCTGACTAGTTTCCCAGTCCCTGCTGCTGAAAAACATCCCGACAGCATGATACTGCCACCACCATGCTTCACCGTAGGGATGGTGCCAGGTTTCCACCAGACGTGACGCTTGGCATTCAGGGCAAAGAGTTCAATCTTGGTTTCATCAGACCAGAGAATCTTGAGTCCTTTAGGGGCCTTTTGGCAAACTCCAAGCGGACTGTCGTGCCTTTTACTGAGGAGTGGCTTCCGTCTGGCCACTCTACCATAAAGGCCTGATTGGTGGAGTGCTGCAGAGATGGTTGTCCTTCTGGAAGGTTCTCCTATCTCCACAGAGGAACTCTGGAGCACTGTCAGAGTGAGCATTGGGTTCTTGGTCACCTCCCTGACCAAGGCCCTTCTTCCCCGATTGCTCTGTTTGCCCGGGCGGCCAGCTCTAGGAAGAGTCTTAGTGGTTCCAAACTTCTTCCATTCAAGAATGATGGAGGCCACTGTGTTCTTGGGGACTTTCAATGCTGCAGCACTTTTTTGGTACCCTTCCCCAGATCGGTGCCTCAATACAATCCTGTCTCTGAGCTCTAAGGACAATTCCTTCTACCTCCTGGCTTGGTTTTTGCTCTGACATGCACTGTCAACTGTGGGACCTTATACAGACAGTTGTGCATACCTTTCTAAATCATGTCAAATCAATTTAATTTACCACAGGTGGACTCCATGTCACGCTCTGGCTCCGGGACTGTGTATTTTGAGCCAGGGTGTGTTCATTTGGTTGTGTTTGGTATTGGTTGTGTTGTATTTGGTTGTGTTTCCTTGTTTGGTCGTGTGACTCCCAATCAGTGGTAACGGGTGTCAGCTGTCGGCTCGTTATCTCTGATTGGGAGCCATATTTAAACTGTCAGTGTTCACCTTAGTGTTGTGGGTTTTTGTTCCTTGTCAGTCATTGTAACTGAGGACTTCACGATTCGTCGTTGTTTGTTGTTTTTGTAGTGAGTACTTTAATTTAATAAAGTCATGTTCGCTCAACGCGCTGCGCTTTGGTCTCCCTCATTAGACGATCGTGACAGAAAAACCCACCTTAACCAGATCAAGCAGCATGAAGAAGAGAGAGGATGGACTTGGGAGCAGTTGAGTAGGAGTCTCGACTGGGCCAAGCCAAGAGAAGAGGAGAGAGGCTGGACTTTGGAGCAGTGGGGTGATAGTCTGGCGAGAACGATGGAGGCCTGGTCCACGAAGAGGAGAGAACCCCAGAAAATTTTTAGGGGGGGGCTCACGACGTCGGACCAGCAGGAGGCCGCGATAGAGCGGTCCAGTGGGTTGCCGGAGGAGGCCGTCGGGTTACGGGGGCCACTGGTCGAAGAGGGGATGGAGGAAGTAGAGGCACGGCGAGAGGTACTGGCGTGTGTTGCCAGTCCGGTCCGGCCCGTTCCTGCTCTCCGCGCCAAGTCTGTGGTGCGCGTTGCCAGCCCTGTCAGGCCCGTGCCTGCTCTCCGCACCAAGTCTATGGTGCGTTTCGTCAGCCCTGTCCGGCCCGTTCCTGCTCTCCGCACCAAGTCTGTGGTGCGCGTCGCCAGCCCAGTCCGGCCCATCCAAGCTCCCCGCACCAGGTCAGTGGTGCGCGTCGTCAGCCCGGTCCGGCTCAGTCCTGCTCCCCGCACCAAGACAAGGGTGCGAGTCGTCAGCCGGATTCAGCCTGTTCCTGCCACTCGCACCAAGTCAAGGGTGCGAGTCGTCAGCCGGATTCAGCCCATTCCTGCTACTCGCACCAAGCCAAGGGTGCGAGTCGTCAGCCGGATTCAGCCCATTCCTGCTACTCGCACCAAGCCAAGGGTGCGAGTCGTCAGCCGGATTCAGCCCATTCCTGCTACTCGCACCAAGCCAGGGATGCGAGTCTTCAGCCTGGTGAGGCCTGTTCCGGCTCCACGCACCATGCAAAGGGTGCGTATCGTCTGCCAGGTCCGGTCCATTCCTGCCTCACGCGCCAAGCCAGGGGTGCGCGTCGGCAGTCCTGATCCAGCTAACTGGGTCAGATCGGACTGGGGGCACTACGGGGGGATTGTAGTAGGGTGGTGGTCAAGCCCGGAGCCGGAGCCGCCTCCGAGGAGCAATACCCACCCAGCCCTTCCCTATTTGGGGTGTAGGCGCGGTCGGAGTCCGCGCCTTTAGGGGGGGGTACTGTCACGCTCTGGCTCCGGGACTGTGTATTTTGAGCCAGGGTGTGTTCATTTGGTTGTGTTTGGTATTGGTTGTGTTGTATTTGGTTGTGTTTCCTTGTTTGGTCGTGTGACTCCCAATCAGTGGTAACGGGTGTCAGCTGTCGGCTCGTTATCTCTGATTGGGAGCCATATTTAAACTGTCATTGTTCACCTTAGTGTTGTGGGTTTTTGTTCCTTGTCAGTCATTGTAACTGAGGACTTCACGATTCGTCGTTGTTTGTTGTTTTTGTAGTGAGTACTTTAATTTAATAAAGTCATGTTCGCTCAACGCGCTGCGCTTTGGTCTCCCTCATTAGACGATCGTGACACTCCAAGCAAGTTGTAGAAGCATATCAACGATGACCAATGGAAACAGGATGTACCTGAGCTCAATTTTGAGTCTCATAGCAAAGGGTCTGAATACTTATGTAAATAAGATATGTTTTTTATTTTTTATACATTTTTACAAATGTGGAAAATGTCAATACACTGTATATAAGGTCCCACAGTTTACAGTGCATGTCAGAGCAAAAACCAAGCCATGAGGTCGAAGGAATTGTCCGTAGAGCTCTGAGACAGGATTGTGCCAAGGCACAGATCTGGCGAAGGGTACCAATAAATGTCTGCAGCATTGGAAGTCCAAGAACACAGTGGCCTCCATAATTTTTAAATGGAAGAAGTTTAGAACCTGGCCAAACTGAGCAATCGGGGGAGAAGGGCCTTGGTCAGGGAGGCGACCAGGAACCCAATGTTCACTCTGACAGAGCTCCAGAGTTCTTCTGTGGAGAAAGGAGAACCTTCCAGAAGGACAACCATCTCTGCAGCACTCCACCAATCAGGCCTTTATGGTAGAGCGGCCAGACGGAAGCCACTCCTCAGTAAAAGGCACATGACAGCCCGCTTGGAGTTTGTCAAAAGGCACCTAAAGGACGTTCAGACCATGAGAAACAGTATTCTCTGGTCTAATGAAACCAAGATTGAACTCTTTGGCCTGAATGCCAAGTGTCACGTCTGGAGGAAACTTGGCACCATCCCTACGGTGAAGCATGGTGGTGGCAGCATCATGCTGTGGGGATGTTTTTAAGCGGCAGGAACTGGGAAACTAGTCAGGATTGAGGGTAAGATGAACGGAGCAAAGTACAGCGTAAGGGCTATTTGACCAAAGAGAGTGATGGAGTGCTGCATCAGATGACCTGGCCTCCACAATCACCCGTCCTCAACCCAATTGAGATGGTTTGGGATGAGTTGGACCACAGAGTGAAGGAACAGCAGCCAACAAGTGCTCAGCATATGTGGGAACTCCATCAAGACCGTTGGCATTCCTCATGAACTGGTTGTGAGAATGCCAAGAGTGTGCAAAGCTGTCAACAAGGCAAAGAGGGTGGCTACTTTGAAGAATCTCAAATATAAAATATATTTTGATTTGTTCAACACTTTTTTATTTACTACATGATTCCATATGTGTTATTTCATAATTTTGATGTCTTCACTATTATTCTACAATGTAGAAAATAGTAAATATAAAGAAAGACCCTTGAATGAGTAGGTGTGTCCAAACTTTTGACTGGTACTGTATCTACATTTGCAAAAATGTCTAAAATCTGTTTTTGCTTTGTCATTATGGGGTATTTTGTGTAGATTGATCAGGGGGAAAAAACAATTTTAATCAATTTTAGAATAAGGCTGTAATGTAACAAAGTGGAAAAGGTCAAGGGGTCTGAATACTTTCCGACGTTTGACTTTTCTGTTCACATTTTCCTAATTTAATCTCTTCAAACCATTATTTTCTTTCTCCATCTCTGGTTCTCTCCACAGATGGAAACAGAGGCGGTGGTGGCTACCAGGGGCAGAACAGGGGGGGCTACCAGGGAGGCGGGGGCTACCAGGGTGGTGGCGGTGGCGGCTACCAGGGTGGTGGCGGTGGCGGCTACCAGGGTGGTGGCGGTGGTGGCGGGGGCGGCTACCAGGGTGGTGGCAGTGGTGGATACAGGGGAGGCTACAAGGGGGGCTACCAGAACCAGGACAGGAGAGACTACTGAGCCAGAGGAGGAGCCCTTGGAACCTCGTCCAACAGAGCCAGCCAGTCTTCATTCCAAAACAACATTATCTTGGGTTACATTACTTGACATTGCACCTCTACTACGCTTTTCTCCCTTTGTACAACATTGATCAGCTTTCCCTATACATGACAGGCTTGAAAACTGTTTTACTTCTTCAAAATAAAAGTCAGTTTCCCTATATATAAAAAATGTGTAGTGTAATATCCGCATTGCCTATGCTTTTTGTCGAGTGTGAATGTGTTTTTGGACAAATGGCATTTAATAATTGTGTGTGACAAGATTAATGCATTTGCAGTGTAGCAGGGTCAGAGATATGTCAAGTGAAGTCTTTTCAGTTGTAACCTCCAAAATAAACATTGAATTAATATATGGTTTTGTATGATTATTTGATAAGTCCATTAAAACATTGTTGCCCTCTAATAATGATAACTACAGCAAAATCAATCTGGCACCTGACACGCATCTCTTGCCCAGCAATACTAGACTAAAGCTGTACTCGGGAGAGCTAATGAGCTCTATGGGCATCTTTGAGACCGAATGTGTTATTCGGGGACACAAACAAGCTGGTGTTTTGAGATTGTGAAAACCAGTCAACATCCTCTCCTCTCAGGCTCTACATGCGAACGCCTGGGACTGAGACAGTTCACCTTACCCAATGACCTGCACATCGTGGAGCATGTCCAGCATGTACTCCTGTCCAAAGAACAACTACTCAGCAGATATGACGATGTATTCAACAGGCCTGTTGAGTCAGTACCTGGGGAGGTACACTTTTAATTGGATGAGAGCCTCACTCCTGTCCAGTGTGCTCCTCGCAATGTGCCCATTGCAATGAAAGTGGCTGTGAAGGCCCAGCTGGACAAGTATGAGGCCGATGGCCACATGACTGAACCAGCTGACTGGATCAGCAATATGGTCATAATGAAAAAGTCAGAGAAGCTGAGGGTCTGCATCGACCCAAAGCATCTGAACCAAACTGGAGGATGTCCTCTACAAGCTTCCCAAGGCCTGGATTTTCACCTTGGTGGACGCCCGAGATGCATTCCTGCAATGCAAAATGGACAAAGAAAGCAGCTTCATGACCTACCTTCTGGACCTCCTGGGGTCAAACGCTGGCTCAAGCTCCCGTTTGGTGTTTCCATGGCGCCTGAGGTATACCAACACAAGCGGCACGAGTTACTGGCTGGGCTCAAAGGCATTGAACCCATCGCTGATGATGTCCTGATCGTAGGCTGTGGTGACACAGACGAAGACGCAGAACACGACCACGAGGTGAAGCTCCTGGCACTGATGGAGTGCTGCCGATCAGTTAAGCTGCCCCTTGGCCTGAAGAAGCTGCAGTTCAAGGTAAAAGACGGTCACTTCCATGGCCACATTCTCTCGGCCACAGGCCTGAAGCCGGACCCAGATAAAGTCAACATGATCCTCGACATGCCAAACCCGTCTGATGCAAAAGGAGTGTAGCGTCTCATCGGCTTTGCAAACTATTGCACATTTCATGCCACACCTATCAGCAGTCTGTGAGCCCCAGCGCCGGCTGCTGGACAAAGACACACCATGGCACTGGCTACCCAAACACGAGGTCTCGGTGCAGGAGATTAAATCTCTGGCTTCATCCATGCCAGTGTTGTGCTACTACGTACAAAGCCTGTCACAATCCAGAGCAACTCAAGCCAAAGTGGACTTGGATGCTGCTTTATGCAGGAAGGCCAGCCCATTGCGTTTGCCTCGAGAAAGAGTGCCTTGGCATCGTCTTCTCCTGCCAGCGCTTCCATCACTACTTTTGTGGACGAGAGCTGGTCACCACTGAAACTGATCACAAACCACTCATTGCCATATTCAGTAAACCTCTCCTCAACGCGCCCAAGAGGCTTCAAAGCATGCTCCTGACTCTGCAAAACTACAGCCTTAAGGTCGTCTACAAGCCAGGACCAGAGATGTACAGTGGGGAAAAAAAGTATTTAGTCAGCCACCAATTGTGCAAGTTCTCCCACTTAAAAAGATGAGAGGCCTGTAATTTTCATCATAGGTACACGTCAACTATGACAGACAAATTGAGGAAAAAAATTCCAGAAAATCACATTGTAGGATTTGTAATGAATTTATTTGCAAATTATGGTGGAAAATAAGTATTTGGTCACCTACAAACAAGCAAGATTTCTGGCTCTCACAGACCTGTAACTTCTTCTTTAAGAGGCTCCTCTGTCCTCCACTCGTTACCTGTATTAATGGCACCTGTTTGAACTTGTTATCAGTATAAAAGACACCTGTCCACAATCTCAAACAGTCACACTCCAAACTCCACTATGGCCAAGACCAAAGAGCTGTCAAAGGACACCAGAAACACAATTGTAGACCTGCACCAGGCTGGGAAGACTGAATCTGCAATAGGTAAGCAGCTTGGTTTGAAGAAATCAACTGTGGGAGCAATTATTAGGAAATGGAAGACATACAAGACCACTGATAATCTCCCTCGATCTGGGGCTCCACGTAAGATCTCACCCCGTGGGGTCAAAATGATCACAAGAACGGTGAGCAAAAATCCCAGAACCACACGGGGGGACCTAGTGAATGACCTACAGAGAGCTGGGACCAAAGTAACAAAGCCTACCATCAGTAACACACTACGCCGCCAGGGACTCAAATCCTGCAGTCCCAGACGTGTCCCCCTGCTTAAGCCAGTACATGTCCAGGCCCGTCTGAAGTTTGCTAGAGTGCATTTGGATGATCCAGAAGAGGATTGGGAGAATGTCATATGGTCAGATGAAACCAAAATATAACTTTTTGGTAAAAACTCAACTCGTCGTGTTTGGAGGACAAAGAATGCTGAGTTGCATCCAAAGAACACCATACCTACTGTGAAGCATGGGGGTGGAAACATCATGCTTTGGGGCTGTTTTTCTGCAAAGGGACCAGGACGACTGATCCGTGTAAAGGAAAGAATGAATGGGACCATGTATCGTGAGATTTTGAGTGAAAACCTCCTTCCATCAGCAAGGGCATTGAAGATGAAAACGTGGCTGGGTCTTTCAGCATGACAATGATCCCAAACACACCGCCCGGGCAATGAAGGAGTGGCTTCGTAAGAAGCATTTCAAGGTCCTGGAGTGGCCTAGCCAGTCTCCAGATCTCAACCCCATAGAAAATCTTTGGAGGGAGTTGAAAGTCTGTGTTGCCCAGCGACAGCCCCAAAACATCTGCATGGAGGAATGGGCCAAAATACCAGCAACAGTGTGTGAAAACCTTGTGAAGACTTACAGAAAACGTTTGACCTGTGTCATTGCCAACAAAGGGTATTGTTATTGACCAAATACTTATTTTCCACCATAATTTGCAAATAAATTCATTAAAAATCCTACAATGTGATTTTCTGGGAAAAAAATCTCATTTTGTCTGTCATAGTTGACATGTACCTATGATGAAAATTACAGGCCTCTCTCATCTTTTTAAGTGGGAGAACATGCACAATTGGTGGCTGACTAAATACTTTTTTCCCCGCTGTACATCAGCGACACACTGAGCAGGGCAACAGCACAATGTACAGGCAGAGGCACTGCCTATCAGCGGCATGCCATCTGTTCGCTACAGCAGGAACAACCAAGATGTTCAACAGATCAATCAGGGAGACTACTTAAACGTAACAGATCACCGCCTAGCCCAGATCAGGCAACACACTGACGAACGAACACCTACAGTCACTGAAGTCCATGGTTCTCACAGGTTGGCCGTACCTGAAAGAGGAGACACCTTTCACAGTGAGAGAATACTGGACCTTTCGAGATGAGATCAGCGTGCACAATGACATCTTGTTCAGAGGTCAAGAAGGTCATTCTCCCCAAATCACTATGTCCAGAGATGCTTACCCGCATACACTCCAGTCACGTTGGAGGTGACGCATGCTACCGCCAGGCACGCGAAACATACTGGCCAAACATGCGAGCAGAAATGAAAGACTGTCAGCAGCTGTACCACATGCAACGAGTACGCTTATGAACAGCAAAAGGAAACCATGATGTCGCACGAACTACCCACAAGGGCCTGGCAAATCGTCAGCATGGATTTATTCAGCCACAGACAAAAGGACTATCTTCTCATCGTTGATCACTACTCTGACTTTTGGGAAATTGAACTGCTCCCTGACTTGTCAGCCAGACAAGGTCATCACGGACAATGGCACACAATTGACTGCACAGTTCAAGCGTTTTGCCTCAGAATGGGAGTTTGACCACGTGACATCCTCTCAAAGGCAAATGGCAAGGCAGAGACAGCGGTCAAAGTTTGAAAAACAAAAGCTGTTGCGCAAGGCCTTGCGTGACAGCAACGACCCCTGGAAAGCCATCTTACAGCGGAGGAACACACCCACCGAAAACATGGACAGCAGCCCAGCGCAACGCCTTCTGTCCAGACGTCTGAAGACTACCATCCCCGTAGCTAACAAGCTACTTGATCCCTGCATCCTGGTTGGCATCACGGACAAACTGCGCCACAGAAAGCAGCTCGCTAAGTTATTCTATGACCAGACTGCTCAAGACTTACCAGAGCTGGAGGTGGGTGAAACAATAAGGATGAAACCGCTGTCGGAAGACCACACAGGACTGGGCACGTGCCTACAGAGAGTTGCACCAAGTTCTTACATGATGGGTGTCGGTGGCTCCCTCTATCGTCGCAATTGGGTGGATCTGCGCGTAGCAGAGCAGACAACAAACCAGAACACGCCATACACTCACCTAGATGAGCTTGATCACAGTCCAGGCCTAAGGATAAGGGGTGCAGAATTGAGACATGAGCTAACTGAGGGTGAGGCTTCTACCCCACCAAGCTCTCCAGCTCGTGGCCCTGTCAGAGCCCACACTTTCTACCTAATGGGTCGGCTGTGTAAGCCACCGGACAGGCTTACTCTGTAAGCAAGTATCGTGGAAAATGACTAACTTTGTTATGCACATGCGCTGTATGAGCCATAAACCTGTACATTTCCACTG